CATTAGGGTTGATATTAAGTATCTCAATTCCATATCCTGAACACTGTTAATTTTATTTTTATAAATTATGATTTGCACACAAGAATGTTTGATTTGCAGATATGCCATGACTTGACCTTTACAAGGTCACAATGACCTCAATAACACTTAGGATGTACCTGAATATTACGCCATAATTAACTCCTTACTTGATACAATAGTATATGTCATAATGGATATGAATGCTCTGATTCTGGGGGTACTTTTTATATACTTATAATGACGGATCCTTTCCCATAATGCATCATCATCCATGGCTAATGTCATGTGATCAAATAGGTACATCCTATTGGCAAGTTATTGACACTTGACCTATGAATATAACTATATGCATGCGCATTCAAAGTAGGTGGAGTCACATAGTTCAGAGTTCAGATTTCTCAATTTAATCACATGTCAATCCCAATCTCGCGTGATCATAATATGCACCTTCCCGGACCGGTGTGTGAGAGGGAGAGTGGCTCACAAGGGCTTGTAGCTAGACTATAAACCGAGAAAAATTTCACTTGAAATGTGTACATAAATAATACACTGTTAAACCAACGGCAAGTTTGCTCTTGTACATCTGGCATTAGATCGGGCACTGACAATGCTTATCAAATTAGACAACCGTCCCGTTTAATTTGCTACTATTTATTTTCTACTCTACCACTATGTATTTGTCATGGTATCGATTTAAAAAACACTCATGATAATCAGATAATGTTCATGGTATTATGATGTCAACGACCCATGATAATTAGATAATGTTAATGATATTATGATGTCAACGACCCATGATAATCAGATAATGATAATAATATTATGATGTCAACGATCTTTATGAACCATATAGATGGCAGTGTATGTACATATAGCCGAGACGTTATTAAAATTATTGGATGTTCAGCTCCATCTTTAAATACACACTGCCTCCGTGTTCATTTATTGTTGTATTACCAAAACATATACTTACTTATAAAGGTTTTTGCGATCCACATTTGACATATTGGACACTCTGGGTATATCGGTTTATTTTCTCAAATGTAAACAGATTTTAAATTAATTAAAATGTGATAAGATGAACATGACACATGGTGAACAAGAGATCCATCATGCATAAAATTAATCAAATTCGAAATCTTCATCCCCAAAAGATCACTGTATTTTAGATTAAAATGTCAAGCGGTTTGTCACGATTGTATTATATATTATCGTATGAATTGTAAAATGAAGCCCTCTGATTGGTCAGTTCTTTATTGCTTCTGTTTCTGTATTGCTACTGAGATTGTCCCCGTTGATCATCTCCGTAGCAATACAGAAAATGTTGGTACAGAGGGGACAATCTCAGTAGCAATACAGAGAATACAGAATATGTCTTAGGAATATTTCTTATCTCCTAAGTAAAATGTATTGGCTTAAGACCACACGATATTCGTTATTCTGTATTGGCACCCGACTTCGTCTCGTTTCAATACAGAATTTCTCGAGCAGAATATATCCTATATTGCACTTCAAATCATTCAATAACGTATAGAATTGTTTTTTTGTATTGAATTGTATTGTATTGTATTGTATTGTATTGTAATGTATTGTATTGTAATGACAATAAAATTTAGGCGAAACCACCTCTAGAGTTGCTTGGCAAGGGACATATATATTTATATCCCGACCAAGTTTTAAGTAGGGAGATGAAGATACCTATAGTGTACTCCAAGTATTGTGGGAATATTTTACTTTTTGAAATATTGGCCATGGGTAAAATAATCACCAAATTGATCAATTTCAGGGGATCGAGTTTGATTTAGGAGGAAGAAAATTGAGTAGCATATTCTTCTTTTCTTCATCCTAGGTTTGAATCATGGCTTCTAATCCTCTTTAGATAATTGCAGATTTGACGCCCTATGGGCACAAGTTGTCTTATGAATATGCATAACAATCTCGTTTTCGTATATAATTCAATTCAACATTTCTCACACATGTTAAAGAGCAAAAGTAAGGTAAGAGTTACTTTTTTGAATTGTTGCAATTTTGTACATGTACATAAAATTCCTTGTTCAGGCCTTGTTCTGGTTTCAAAAATATTCCGTCATCACTGACATACTTTTTCCCAGTTTGTTCGGTACATTTGGAACACCTTATATATACATATAGTGTGGTAAAATATTTCGAGCACTCTGCAGAAAGTCATTTGAACAAGGCCAGGTGTCCATAGTCAGCTCGATATGTACATTGAACCTGTAATTTTACAGCCATGTCTGTTTTTTGGTCGATTAGCAATTAAATCACATTTTCTACTCATACTCTTCGGTAATATATTAAATAGGTATTATATAAATAATTTGAAAAATTAATGTCCATATGATCATTTATACATTTTACTTCTGTACATTATATTGGAGGTTTCAGCTATGAAAATGAAAACTTCATTGAAATCGTACAGTATCTGCTTGAGCATTTATAGAAGAGTCACTTTGATTTTCACTGTCTATATGTTTAGTGCTACTATCGGTTAGGGACGATTCTGTTATTCCTTTTATATCACCTTGATTAGGGGTCACACGCCCGTTTTCTTCACCAGACTCCCTCAGTGGAGAATATCGGTATACCATTGGTGATTCCGAATCACGTGACTTCCGGTGGTCGTATCCGTTTTTTAAAATCGGACTGTTCTTCAGTAATGGACTGTTTTTAGTGATATCCGACATTTGAAGATTGTTTAAGGAGGCACTTTTGTTTGATAAATTAGGTGAGTTCTTTGCTTTAAGACTATTTCTAAATATGTTTAGAGAACTACCGCTTGAATGAACGGCATCTGTGAAGTGCGTTGAAACGCTCTTCAGATTTCTAGAACCGCTATCTGTTCGTCTATGGCGTGGACAGCATGCTCTTTTGATTTGATTATGCACCTAGAAAAGTACAAATCTTTTCATACATGACACTTTTAAGATTATGCATCATATCTTTTAATGCTGAATTCGAAAATGTTGATCAGTATTCATATGATTATTTACTTTTGTCACATGGGCGTTAAAGAAATTCTGCCTGGTTTTACCCCAAGATTAACAATACTTTAATACACTATATACATCCAAACTAAATTGAAATAAAGTACTATTATATACTCTAACGGTTCTAAACTAAAATAACACAATATTATCTTTATGTTTGTGTCGAATAAAATAGAATACGAACTAAATAATCACAATCGTGTGTAACACTATTTATTTTATTATTTCTCGATTTATGTCTAGACTTAAGATACCAAAAATTAAATGTAGAAAAACTCAAAATTACGTTTATAACCACGTTTCGTACCACAAAGCCTACCTCTCCGTTGAAAAAGCAGAATATCAAAGACACAAATATCCCCTGAAAGTAAAACAAATATTCCAGTAAACAATTCATTCAAGAAAAAACGTTATAGAAATAAAACATTTTGATTTTTAGTTTATTATGTTGATATAATCAATGTTGCTAAAAAGTGATAATACTGCACAGGCCCGTAGCCAGGATTTGCCAAGGGGGAGGTCACTTTTTGGAAAATTTCAGGGCTAGGGGGGTTCACTTTTGACAATCTTGTTCCAAAAATGGCCAAAATCACTTAAAATGTGCTCAGAATGGTGAGAAAATGCATGCTTTTGAAAGAATTATTGGCCAGGGGGAGGGTTCGCTCGAACCCATCGAACCGCACTGGCAACGGTCCTGACTGCATCAGAAAAACAGCACGACACAGGCACAGACTGCACTGGACTGCACCAACAACAGTATATTTAAAATCTACGCAAATATATGATGAAATAGAGATCAACTTTTAACATGATAGTTTACCTGTGAGTTAGTAATGACTTTTTGAATTTTGTCGTATGTTTTCTCCAGGGCAGGGTTTCCATGGGGATTGTAAATGGTGAAGAATAATTGCAATCCAAACAGCGGGATGAGAACAAAGGCTGCCTTTAGACCACGTCTGAAATGTGCATTTATATTCTTCGAGGCGAGTGAAAATATATATTTGTGACGTTTAACAGTATGAATATGTATTACATACCTAGCGAAGCATTTGTATGGAAGTCAATGGGAAAGTTAGCGAGCTATATCCACCGATATTGCCCGATTACCCCGATATAGCCCGCTTACCTCGTTTTGATATTAGATTTCTTTAATAACCATGATAATATCATGACGTCACGTCATTGATACAAAGTAACCATGGGAACAAAGGCATGTAATACATCAGTTATGTCACTATGACGTGAAATATGCCTTCGTTCTTGCCCAAATATAGAGCCTCCCAAGGTCGGCCTATATTGGGAGAACTCAGGCATATTTCACGTCATAGTGACATAACCTCTAAATATAACAAACAGTATATAAAAACTTGGCAATATAACCAATTACATGTATCAGTTTCAGTGAATACGAGGCTTTATAAAAATCGTCATTAGGGGCAATGATATTAGAAAGGGCCGTTTCCAAGGCAACTACATTTTACTGCTCTTAACGAGGATTATTTAATCTAATACTAAGTACAGAGTGGTCAAAAAATGGAAACCCTGCATTTTCCTCATATTTCTTTCATTTTAAGACATTACTCCCTGATAGTTCACGCATTTGTATATCATACAATTTCCTATCACCCTACCATATGTCATGACCGTCAGACTGATAGTCACAATTTTACAGCAATTTTAACAGCATACTTCAGGTTTGGCCATCATCGCGCTGTATGCAAACATGCACAGTTAAGTTGTCAATGAACAAAATGCATTCTTCAGCAGGTATTGCCTGAATGATACATAATATCTCACTTTTGAGGTATTTTCTGATGTCATTCTTATACACTCTCTACTATATCCCCTGGATCTGTTGACATGTGTAGGTTTCTCTTCAGCGCAATAATGGCCACCGGGAATGTTGTAACATTGTGACTATCAATATGATGGTCATGAAATAAGGTAGACAGGTAGACAATTAAATGATGTACAAATGTGTAAATTTATTTCTTAAAATGACAAAGATATTAGTAAAACGGCGTAGGGGTTTTCCAGTTTTTGACCAACCTGTATTATCTTGTCATTTGAATCTGATATGATGATATTTAGTTAGTAAAATGAAACAAAACGAATTTCTGTGATGTGTTGGCAATTGAGAATAAAAGTATGGGGTACAATGTAAAAGGCAATATATTTGAACACATAATTATGTACAATATCTACTGTCAAATGCTTGTACCGAATCACTTTTACTATTGAGCTTATTAAGATCCCAATAGACAGTGATATGAAAGAAGAGTTATTATAAAAGACAGAAATGCACGAACACATGGTATAACTTAAATCCCAAATTTTCTGATTTTGACGAAAAAAAATTAATTTCAGTTACACGGAATTGTTTAATCAAGATTGTCATGTCAGATACTACATTTTGGATTTTTCATGGAATTCCAAACAATGTACACTATAAGTTTTTATAAATATTTTCGGGATCTATACTGCAGTAAGTAGGGGAAATCAAAGTCGGGTTCATAAAGGCCATCTTAGGTTATTATCAAGGGAATACGCCTCTAGGCGTAATACGTATATGCTTATGTATGCGTTGCACGAAACTGGGCTGAAATCGAGAATAGAAGGTTACGGCGTCTTTTGAATGTCTAAGCTTATTTAATAAATATGGCGACGTACTTCTTATATGATAAAATATAGCGACGTAATCTTATTTTAATAAAAATGGCGACGTACTCTTATTATAATAAAAATGGCGACGTAGTCTTATTATTATAAAAATGGCGACGTACCTAAAATTACTTGGCTCGTCAGGATGTGCGTGAAGCTGCGTCAGAAGTATTCGCATGATGTTGCATAAAAAGAAAAGGTTCACGAAAAGACAAAGTAGGTTGGGGCCATACACTATCCATTCAAAACCACCGATACTTATGGACCAGCACCTATAATGAAGTAAAATTAGTTGATGTAGGGTCCACACTGGTATAATATAATGTTATAAAGTATAACATTTGCTCTCGGAATCCTACTATCTAAAATGTTTTATAAAGGGTCTGCACTAGTGTATGATGTAATAAAGTATAACATTCGCTCCCAGAAATCTGCACTTTCTAAAACAATCTCTGTCCGAATTCTACTATATAAAAGATCTATGTAGGGTCCGCACTAGTTTATGATGTGAACAATACCCTGCTAGATCGAACATGAAAGGTTGAAATAAACTTTGGCAAATAAACGGGTCTAGCAATAGAGTGATAAACTATTTCTGAATGACGTTCAGAAGAAAGAGGCCCCGTAGATTATTTGCCATAAATTGTATTCCCAGTCAAACGGTCATCGTGTTTAACAGCTCTATCCAATTTCTTAGTTTCCTGAATATAATTAAAATCGCTTTATTCTTGTCTAGTTTGTTTTTTATAATCTTTCATTTGAATGCCATTGTGACAATCCCTACCTGAGGGTAATAACCGAGAATTCAAAGATCAAGATTTATGTAAAGATGAACTAATACGATCAACTTTACAGACAAACAGATTCATTTTTGAATTCTGTGTTATTTCCTCATCTTCCACGTCACTTACTTCTTGTTATCTAGAATCGCCCTAGCAACGGTATACGCGCCAACAGGGAGGACAGGAAACCCTAGGGGAGAGATATATCATTTTAAGCATTAAATAGTATGTATAAAGAATCGATTTATTTCTGAAATTTACTTATTTATTTATAATTTATGAAAGTATATACAATATATCCATCACTACCAGAAGTTGCGACATATTGTTATACTTTTTTGCGGAAGGTGTTCGGCGGCTGGTTGTTGGGTGTTTTGTTTCGTCTATGACAAATGACAGGAGGTGACATTTTGCATGTAAATGCTTTATATCATTTTACATTAATTGTCATATTTGTAAGACAAATGTCACCCTTTTTGAACGAGTTTCATATTTGCGTCATTTTTTTTATTCCCGGTCTAATGTTCGACTTACCCCAGCCAAGTATATACAATCTGACTAGAGAATTCGGTGGCTCAAAAGCATTTGATATCAATTTATGAAGATAGTAGCCTTCGCAGAACATCCAAACATATGTCGTACATTTTGTATAAATATGAAGAGCACAAAGAATTCTGCAACCAATCTGGAAAATTAAAATGAAATATAAAGTGACATGATTGTAGGGATTGTGAAAAGCTAAAATGACATATAATTTCAAAATACGTTTTCTTATCCCGATTGTTAATTCACAACGACCGTGGAGGTAATTATGCAGTCACTGTACCAATAACGACATTGCCAATATGTCGTAAAAGGTAAAATAAGGTTTACATTTTGCGCTTACATTGCCTTGTCAATTGGGAAATGCCAATGGGTATAGGTGATATAATTGTGTCATAAATGTTTAATCGTCCCGGGTACTAAAGCTATTATTTTGTTCACGGTACGTATTTGAAACACGAGTGTATTGTTGATGTTGTTTTACAGCAGTGCAAGAGTTTGCCACACCATTTCTTACACTCCCCTCCATAAGTTTTACAACTGTTGATATACCATACAAAAGCATGCCAATTTTTGAACCTTAATTTTGTTTCTTTATTACAATGGCTCTGAAAGGATGGGGAGTTGTTTGTAGAATGAATTGGGGGAGTTTTTTAATGCATTTCGCTTATGTTTTTCATCCTAAAAACATCAATGCATTTTAAAGCATTTAAGTATTGTTGAATATAAGGTTGCACCACATAAATGCTTGTAAAAACTCCCCTGATTCATTTTACAAACAACTCCCCCTCCTTTATGACAAAATAGCTTTTTTCACCAAGGATAATACACATGCTTTTATAAGTGATCCGAAAGCCCCTCCCCCCCGATTGTCAAACTGCTGAAGGGGAATGTTCATGTACAAACTGAAATGAGGAAATACTTACTGAATTTTTATACATTACGGATTGTGAATTAATTTTTACAGTCAGAAGATCGTATTGAACTAGCATGTCCCAGAGAATCGTGATGAATCCACAAAAGGCCAGAGATAAGAAAAAATTAATGTGAATCTTGATTCGATCCTGTCGCCTTAGCGCTCTGCAAGAAAAGTCAATTAATATAATTATATGGCTATCTCAGCAGCAGAACCAGCTCAAGAAATATCTCGAAATAAAGTCACGACAAATAAACTTGACTAATTGTGAACATTTAAAAGGGTCGTTCAATAATCATTGATAAAATTCCTTAAAACGTATTATGACTCTTCTATTTAGATAAATGCTAACTGTGTGAATCTGAAATAGAAACGATGAAATTACCATATGGAAATCCCAGAAGTATATCAAATGATGATCTATAAAATATTATAGTCACTCCCATCAATAAAAGTGGAAACCCTGATTCCAAACTAACTAAATGTGCATAAAGCTCGTGTTACATATATTGTGCGAAGGATTGACCATGTCTACGTATTCATATAATGAATCCCAAAGTGATTACATATACATTTGATCACATACAATAAGCAATGACACCATTTAACGGAGCATCTCAAAAGTCTAACGTATGACTTACTGTACTTGAACAGTTAATATGTGACCCCTTCCCTTTCATAACTGCATGTTGAAATGCGTCTTTGCGTTAAGTAACACTATATCATATCAGTATAACACAGTCATTTTTTATAATCATTCCAATATGTATTTGTATACAGTATCGGCATAAGATTATCTCTTGTACTGTATCTCACTGTAGAATACTGAGTTTATATCCAACAAAATTTGCAAAGACAAAATTCCCCGGAACGATGTCAGAAAACTTTTAAGGCTAATGACCCCCTATCATAACTGTTCATATACACTTAGTTTTCCGACATCGATCTTTTGAAATGCTCCCTAGTATACATACACAGTATTTACAGAGACCTAGTTTCAAGTTAATTACAGAACACAGGAGACTAGAAATAAATACATGTGCATTTCTAAACTTGTAACTTAAATGGTATATATGAAAACAATTAAATGACAAGTTCATTTTCCAAATCATGTATGGTATAACTTAATAGAATACATCTCGATATTCAACCTCAATATAAACATTGATAAATCGTTGATTAATTGTAAGTGATTAGCTATTACATAATATGAAGAAAACCCTCGTGCGAATTATCATATTGATACATGTAGTAAATATCAACCTCCGATCACAGGGCTTCAAAATCCAGAATATATTCTTTCTTTTTACCCCCTGCGATAAGCAGTTAGCATTTCCCCGATGAAGAACTCGCAATCTCACATATAAGTCATTGAGCATAATAAGATCAATTGGTTTAGTTTAATCGGGCGCTTCCACGGATTCTGGACACCTGCTTAGGAGGACGACTAAATATATATATAAAAAATCAAAACATGCCTTCAAATAAATACACCTAACTCTTCAAGGTGCACGCGGGTTATAATCTCCAGGAAAAATCAGATAAATCTGGGGGAAATATAACGGGACAAACAATAAGAATCATTCATCACATAACATTAATTACAAACAGATACATCATCCATGAAGTTGTCGATGTTTTGCAACGTTAACGACAAGATTGGAAGACTGAGGGCTCCTACGATGTATCAGGGTATCGCGATACATTTTTCACCTCGACTTGAGTCTAAAACGATTTTAGCTTTCATATGTGTTCATCTGCATTCAAAGCAGACCTTTCACATAGTTTCATTCAATTTATTGAAGACCCCCCGTATTGACCCCCCTTTCAATACTAACTTGAACACTCGTAAAAGTCAGATACAGATATCCTACAACATATTACCGAACGTCAGTCTTTCAAAATATTTGCTTTGTCAAAATGAACATGGTTTAATAGAGTTGTCCATTTTCCTTCATGCTTAACTTTGTAAGCAGTGAATTACTTGTATCGTAAGAGCCCTGGTTGTTTAGCACAACATAAACGGTGCACTTCTCAAAAAATCTTTACTTACATATAATTTTCAAAACATCTACCCTGTTTTTTCCTGATGTATTTGAATTGAGGCAAAAGACAAACAAAAAACTTGTTCTTTTACAAAGAATCAAAAATCCATGCTATTAAGTGTTGTTATAAGACATTTAATAAGACATGTTTAATGACATTTCATAAGTACTAGATCCGGAACGCCGTGACCCAGGGCACTGACAAGAAGGAATTGACATGTGAATGGCACAAAGTGAAGGATTTGCGATACAAGTGCTACTTATCGCAGTGAAACAATTTGATGAATAGAACGGTGGTGCCAGACAAGGTGTCGCAAATGCAGAATATCGATACGGTTCCCGCAAGTACTTTGTGCATTGCACTTACGGATGAAAGAATTGTATAATGAGCTCTATTGGCTTACTTTTCCATCGTGAATAATTTTAACAATCATTTACAGAGTGACTGAGTTGGAAATGGTTCATTTTATTTAGTCAATTAGAATGCAATTCCAGCATTACATCGTTAGCGTTTTTGTTGTGTGTAAATGTACAATCGTATACACCAATCAAATGATACTCGACTATACCCGGATATGACGTCACTAAAAAATTGAGCCTTCCCTCTCACACAAATGTCAACCCAATCAGATGTACCATAGCATTTTATATGACAAGTTAGCTCATAAAATCGAGTGGTGGAACGCTTGTTCTACTGAGGGTTTCAACATGGAAAGTCAAAAAGGTAACCCAAGTCTAAATAACTCAGTCATTCAGCATGTGTTCGAAATCAAATTTAGCAAATTCAAATATTATTTAATGTTTTTTTTCAGTTTCCCTTATGGTCACGATTTCAAAGCCATGTTACAAAACGTGTTATAAAATGCCGTCTTCGGGTCGGCGTCAGTAGGTTGGTAGGCAGGACTATTTAGTCTAAAGGACGGTCATCTCTAATTTTTTGTTTACTTGTCACTCGTTTTAACCATTTTCACTGCGTCAAATGTGAAATTCCAAGCAATTTCTAGACGTGCAAAGATAGTCTAGGAACTCCGCGTATCTAGAGATTCCAAGACGTGTCAAGAGGTGCAAAGACCTCGCGTGTAAAGAGCGTGTCAAGAGTTTTGATATCTCTTTGCACAGCCTTATCAAAACAAACAGTATAATTAGACCGGCCACATGTTGTTATGCCCTATAGTCGCGCTTAATTATACTTTACTAGGATGGGAATATAACAATCATTTTAATTTCGTGTTAATAATAATTTGTGTTTTTTAAATCATTATCAAAATAAAATTAATTTAAAAGTATGCGTGTGCGTGTAAGTATAGGCAATAGCTTAGTCGAAATGAGTAGATGTGTGCAGATGGAGATCGCCTATGTATTTTGCTAAATCTGACATTTTTACAGGATCATGTTAAAGATCAAATGAAAACAAGAAATGTGTTTTTCTTAGGTTTATCTACCCTGATTACGAGTGATTTTAACTTGGACGCATATTCCTAGATATTAAAACAGTTTGAATAATTAACAAAGTCCACTTTGAACCGTGTCAATCAAATTGTCAAATATGTAGATAGCACATGCAGGCCCGAATACAGGGGGGATAGATTGGTTCTAGCGACCCCCCCCCCCCCCCTCCGTGACCAAAATTGCATTTTTTACCCCATACTGAGCACCTTTTAAATTATTTTGCTCATTTTTGAACTAACATTGCCAAAAGTAAACTCCCCCTGGAATTTCTTAAAAAAGTAACCCACCCCTTGGCAAATCCTGGCTATGGGTCTGAAACGCCTGAAACATGCTCTGATATAATGAGGCATATTCTGTGATCTGAGCTTATCATATGGGAAGAGTTATGAATGTCAATAAGTATGATTGTTATCATGTAATCATCTACCTTAATGTCAATACATTACATAATGTAGTAAGGCATTGTACATGTATTTAACAACAGGCACATCCTTCTTCAAAGGACTTCATTTATACTTGTAAAATACCCTTCCAGCGAGGATACAACAGGCACAGTTACACAAGTTTTATGACCCCAATTAGATGAAATATGAGCTGGGATGAAAGATCTCAAAAATCAAGGGCTGGGAAGATTTGAGATGTCATGGTTTACTATCATGACGCTGAAACATGTGTCGCTTATTGTCACCTGTATTGATCATGATGGGGCGACGGCAGTGCCCCGAGTCTTTTTGATCTGTTTAATCTTATTAGTTACTATCTAAAATTGAATAATTTAGGACCCCGGAAGCAAAACAACTCTTTGTTATGAAAGGAATACACCATGGACAGAACCCCTCATGTAAACCATCTATAAATACCTTTGAAATCAATTTGATTTTCGATCTACATCTGAATCTCAGATGGAGAGTACTCTTTGACAAGATCAACATTTAAAAGTGTAGGAAAGGTTTGATAAAGATGTTTAATAGCTAATTATTCAGACATATTGTTCTTTCATGTTGACGATCATCGAACATAATTGCAATCAACTTCCATGATATTTGCAATTTTGAATTTTGAATTATTTTGAATGCAAATGTACTCAAGTACTATATCCTGAGTTCTGCCCGGATCCCCGAAAACGTTTAAAATCAAACTCGATTATTTAGCTAGACTTCAAAATAAGGGATTCAATAGAAACATGAAATCCATATCACTGTATAAATTGTGGAATTTCTAGTAATTTTTAGACGTGCTTAGCCGGTCTAGAAACTCTGCGTATCTAGAGATAGAGGAGGGGAGAGAGGACTAATTTTATAGCTGAAATTAAAAATAGCTTATGATCTATAAATATAATATATGGTTGTTCTTATAATGAACAACTATTGGTTTAATATCTGATATGTGGACGGATATTTCTTGATTTGGTTTAAAAAGAAACTGAATGTAGGGTTGCAAAAATGAGAGAGACAAAGACGTTCGAAGGGTGGGGGTAAAATTTAATTAAAATCAAGCTGAGACAGAATGAGAATAAACATATCTGTTAGTTGCTCATGTAAACGAAAACAAATTAGAGGGTTTATTAGCACCGCAGACCAGATTTGCAAAATTGGGGGAGTGCATTTTCCCAGGATTTTAAACAATACTATATCTAAAATGTTGCCCCTCATATGCCTGGGTCATATTTG